GAAGCCCAGGAGAATGTGAAGATAAAAGCCAACATTATGTATCAACTAAGAACACGAGAGGGGGAGAGGAAGAGAGAGCCAGAACTGGACAGTAGATAGTAAAAAACAAACAAACAAACAAAAACAGTTTTTATTCCAGAATTATTTCAACAGGGAAAAAAAAAAGAGATGTACTTGTAGACGTGCCTGGGCTTCACTGTGAACACCAAATGCTGGGGGGCGGGGGGTTATAGCCAAGAAGCACTGTGGGTGTCAGTGTGTGGGAAACTAAGTTTCTGGCCAAATTTCATACTGTGCAACTGAAGAAACTTGGTAGGGTTTCTGCTGAAGGAGGGTCAGAGTGACTAGACACCAAGAGTGGAGGGGGGGTGGGGTGAGAAATTTTGCACATGAAAAATCCTGCCACAGAGAGATGTTAGAGTCTCCAGTTAACACCACAAAGATAGTCTCATATGAGGTTGGGGAGAGTCACAAAGTGGGAATGGGAGTCTTAGATGATTTCATAGAATAGCTGTTGAGTGTCTGTTAATGAAACTTAAGCAGTAATCTTAAGGACTGAATTTGGACCAGATGCAAGGTGGGCAGGCTGCACCCCAAGCTCAGCTGAACATGCAGAGGGAAGCATTGTTCTGAAGCTATGAAAGATGCATTTTTTAAATTAAACTAAGGGCAGAAGGGCAATGATGCTTAAATGGTGTGTACCTGTTATGGTCCCCACCATGCAAGAGATATTGCCCACTTCTCCATGGATGTCTCTCATTTAATTTGCAAAGCAAAATCTAGATGTGTGCTTTGTTCCTAATGGATTGCCTTACAAATCCTGACAAGCCTTGTTTCCCACTGAGAAATAGGAAGGATTATCAACAATGTGTGTCTGCTTATCACTGTACTAAATGACAGCCTCAAAAGAAAACACAGAACAACCTTGAGTAGCCTCTCTATAAAGGTCTGGGTGTCTGCAGCTAGTACCGAAAGAAAAACACAATGTGTCTACATACTTTCTACCCAGTTCTACAGAAACAGTCTTATAATTCTATACCTAACTGGGACCTCTGGGAGAGAACCATTGTTGCCAAGGCTGGCAAAAAAAATAAAATAAAATAAGATTTTCCAAGAGACAGAGAGAGAGAGAGAGAGAGAGAGAGAGAGAGAGACAGAGACAGAGACAGAGACAGAGACAGAGACAGAGAGAGAGACTGACTATTTCTGTCTCATTTCTGCCCAAGACAGTTTATGGAAACTAGTTCCCCAAGATAGGTGACAGAAACTCCACTTTTCTCCCACCTTTCATCTTGGAGCTGGCCACAGAGAAGTTCTCTTGTTAGACCTTCTCATTCCTGAGAAGTCCTGCTCCATAATCCATAGGCTTGTGCTACACGTCGGACCACCAGCCCACAAATAACAACACAGAGACCTCTTGTTAATTATGAAAGTTTGGCCTTCAGCTTAGGCTGTTTCCAGCTAGCTAACTTAATTAACCCATTTTGTTTTTGTTTTTGTTTTGTTTTGTTTTTCGAGACAGAGTTTCTCTGTGTTGCTTTGAGGTTGTCCTGGAACTGGCTCTGTAGACCAGGCTGGCCTCGAACTCACAGAGATCCATCTGCCTCTGCCTCCCGAGTGTGGGATTAAAGGCATGATCCACCAACACCCTAATTAACCCATTTTTAAACCTATGTTCTGCCATATGGCTTTTTTACCTCTCCATAATTCTGTACGTCTGACTTCGCCCACATCTCTCTGGCTTCTCCCCGCTTCTCATCATCCCAGCGTTCTCTCTCTCCCCAGAAAGCCCACCTATTCTCTCCTGCCTAGCTATTGCTCACTCAGCTCTTTATTAAACCAACCACAGTGACACATCTTCACACAGCACAAACAAATATTCTGCAACAACACATTGGGGACAAGAGGAGTCTAGATAGACAAGGTTTGCTGAATTTCCCCCCGCACAATTTATTAGCAATTCTGCCTATGCAACTAAGTCTCTATCAAAAAGGAGAAGATGGCCAGGCAATGGTGGGGCACACCTTTAATCACAGCACTCGGGAGACAGAGGCAGGCAGATCTAGTTGGAGGCCAGCCTGGTCTCCAGAGCGAGTTCCAGGACAGCCAGAGCTACACAGAGAAGCCCTGTCTTGATGAAAGAAAGAAAGAAAGAAAGAAAGAAAGAAAGAAAGAAAGGAAGGAAGGAAGGAAGGAAGGAAGGAAGGAAGGAAGGAAGGAAGGAAGGAAGGAGACAGAGACAGAGACAGAGACAGAGACAGAGACAGAGACAGAGAGAGCAGGTGCCTGAGTAAGCATAAGGCATAAGGAAGCCGTGTGCCTTCTTCTACTCCTCTCTCTGTGTGTCCCTTCATCTGTAACCTTTGTAATATCCTTCATGACAATCCAACAAAGGAGAAAAAGGTGGCAAGGGGATTAAAAATGGAAGGAGAAAGGAGGATAGGAGGGGGAGGGGTACAGAGAAGAGAACATAAGAGAAATGAGGGGAAATGAAGGGTGGGTAATTATATTCCTTGTGGCCAGCAGGGGTCGCCCAATAGCCAGAAAACAAATAAAATGCAGGGACTGGGTTGGCCTGGCCTCTGAATAGAAATGGGGGAGGAGGGGATGGAGGGGACGCTGAGACAAGATGTGGATGGGGGCCTGGTAGGAGAGGAAGGAGGGGAAACAGAGGTGAGGTGAAGACACTCAGGTAATGACACCCTTACTTCAGTCCAACTCTGAAACTGTGCCATGTGTAGTGGGATAAGGAAAACAATGGAGTCCATTTGGACTGGAGTAGAAGACACACAAGGCCGAAGGCTTCCTTTGAGCTCAGGCTTCCAAGTGGGGCCTCTGGTCCTCCTTTGCCATCTTCCTCACAGACTGAAAATATTACTGCATGCTTATGTTCTAGACACCTCTGTAAAATATATTTTAAATCCACTTTAAAGTTCAGTTTAGGAGCTGAGAAGGTTACATAATCTGTGAAGTACTTCTTGTCTTGTGAAGATGAAGACATGGGTTAGATCCCAGAACCCAGATGTGGAGGCCAGGGGGCAGAGAGAATGGTGAGGTGCCCTGTGTAGCCTGTCTGGAAGTCTCCACTGACCCTCCTATCGCTCTGGGGGATATTTAGACATCTATGTCATTGTCTCCCTTGTCCTCTCATCCATGAATCTAGGCAAGTTTTCTGCTTGATTTGAGATGGCAGGTACTGGTGGTCCAGCCTGGAATTCAAATTTGGGCTTGATGAACCAGAGACTGGCACAGAGTGGGCTCTCTCACTCTCTCTCTCCCTCCCCCCCTCTTCTCTCCCCCCTCCTCCCCCTCCCAAGGGCTTGAGTCCTCCACAAACTGAGCATGTGGTTCTCATGTGTCTTCCATCCTCTGCTTCTCCTCCAAATGACAACAATAGCTGTGCAAGAGAAGTCAGGGAATTTAGGTGGCATGAACATGTGTGAAACAGTGTAAATATTCAACAAATGTTAGTTTGCATCATAAATATCCCAATCTTTGTCCTTTCTTTGAAAAAAAACAAACCTCCTTATAGATATTTTATGTTTTAGTACATTATGGCAAAGCCCTGCCCTACAGAAACCACTGTTTATGTATGTGTGCATTAAATGTACATATTGTTAGGTGTGCCTGTGTGCCCATGCACATATGTATGGAGGACAGATGACAGCCTTGTGCACCATTCCTTCAATGCTGTCATGTGACTTTTGTTTGTTTTGTGCCAACTAGCCTGGAACTTACCAAGTAGACTAGGCTGGCTGGCCAACTACCCATAGAAACTCCCCACCCCAACATACACACACACACACACACACACACACACACACACACCACCCAGTATTGGGATTGCACTCATGTACTGCTACACCCAACGTTTTACCTGCATGCTGAGTCAAATCCAGGTCCTCGCGCTTGTGTGGCAAGCACTGCACTAACTGAGCCGTATCTAGATGATGCTTGTGGTCCCCACACAGACTACTTTATGACACATACTCACAGGCATCAGTGGTAGATTAGGGACAGGGGGCTTACAGGTGTAAAATTTGTTCCAATGATGATCTGTGAATATTAACTAGTACAGCCTCCACATCATACACACAAGAGAACGGAACTGCATCCGCCAGTCTCCTGCTCCTAACAGCTTGCCGTAGCAACCCATACTCTTTTCTCCTGTTGAAGGACCACGCCACTCTTAGGTTCCAAATCACGTTCGAGCATTGCAGAACTGTCTGAGTCTGGTTAACTATGTTGCTTCACTCTGCTGAGGCAGCAGTTGCTCAAGGTGCAGCTTTATAAGGGACCAGACTAGAGCAGTGATTGGCAAGGGATGCTGGGAGCTTCAGGGCACTTGTTAGACAGGGCAGAGGAAGGCAGGAGAGGTTGTCTTGGAAAGAAAGGTCATGCTTTGTCTGAAGATGCTTCCGTTTCTGTTCTTACTCCACATACAGCTTGCCAAGGCCTTTCCGGTACCCCCTGAAAACCTGGAAGAGGAAAATGTAAAAACTGTTGAGGTAAACGAACTCTCATTTGTGGGTGATTTGCTGATGGCTACAGAATTCAGAGAATGGCTTCCCCTTCTTGATCTAAAAAGCCAGACAGAGATTTTCTGGATGCCTTGTCAGAGGCTCAGCATAACCTTCTGGAACTTGGAGGACTCCAAGCTGACAAGGCGAGGCCCTGGGAAATCTAGATGTGAAAACAGCGGATACTTTGAAGGCCACTGCTGTGGGGCTGCTGCGGCTATGACCCTTTCAGAGAGAGTGTGTTTATTTATAAAATGAACTGAAGTTTTTACCTATGTTTTTCTTTCCCAGTAACCCTGTAATCCAGTTGTTATATGTTCTATAGGCCAATTCTAGACTGGTAAAGGCTTGCTAGTGTCCCCACACAGAAAAACAATGGTGATGGTAGACTTTGGGGAGCCCCTTTTGAGGGCCTTACCCTGCCTGGGGAGTGGAGGGAGGATGTTTAGGGGCAGGTAGGATGTTGGGGGGGAGGGGAGGGAGAGGGAGAAGGGATTGACATCTGAAGCAAGCTTGTTCCTAATTTGAACTAATAAAATAAAATTAAAATTAAAAAAACAATGGTGAGAGGGCCATCCAATTATGATCTGCCTACTGTTTCCTGTGTGGATATTTCTTTGCAGCCAAAAATTCTATCATGTGTAGAAGATGGACTAGAGATTGGGGTGGGTTATAAGGAATTAAAGTTAGCACACTGTATAGTGAGGCCAGTTGTTTTTGTTTGTTTGCTTGCTTTTGCTTTTGATTTTCATGCAAGGGAATGTGATCACAAATTTCTTGTGCATAATTTTCTTAGTGTTGAAATTTCTGGAAAGCGTCATTCTTGCTCTTTCTTTTCTTGGTATTTTTTGTGACTGGCACAGTAACCCTTAATTCATACTCAGAGTGTGTTAAGTTTATTCTATAGAAGTTCACCCTCAAAGCTCATCTCAATAACCTGTAACAGAAAGCTTCTTTTTCCCACGTCAGAGACAAAAGAAAGTGCTAGGATTTATTTAAACCTGTCAGATCCCAAAATGTGAGCTCTGCCTTCTGTCAGCTCATGTACCAGGTGGTCACACACATACAGCATGTAATATGTACACATAGGCTTCATACTTTACATTGTTTTTCAAAGTCAATCTAGAATTTCTCTATTTTAATTAAATGTATCTATTTATGTGTGGAAGGTATTGCATGCCACAACACACGTGTGGCAGAGAGAGTACAACTTGAAAGAGTCAGCTCTCACCCTCTACTGTGTGGGTGGTGAGCATCAGTCTTGTCTTGGCAGGCTTGGCAGTATGCACTTTTACCCACTGAGCCTCTACAGTTTCTGTTATTGTGCCTGTGTCTGTCAGGTCCTGTTTTGCACTATGTGGTGACTTAGACAGAACTGCAAAATGTCCAGAGCACTAAAGGCAATTTCACAGCAAAGACTCTTGTGTTTATTTTGATCAGAAATACCTACAAAAATTCTACCACTTACCAAGCAATCAATTTCGCTCTGCAAGGAGGAACAGCACAATGGTGACAGAGAAGCTTAAGGAAATGCAGCGCTTCTTTGGCTTGGCTGAGACAGGGAAGGCAGATGCAGCTACCCTGGAGATGATGAGAAAGCCTAGATGTGGAGTGCCTGACTCTGGTGATTTCATGCTAACCCCAGGAAGCCCCAAGTGGACACACACTAACCTGACCTACAGGTAACATTGCTGGAGTCCTCTGATTCATCCACCCAGCTGGTGATGAATGAGAGCCTGTGAAAGCTCAGGCATGTGTTGCAGCACTTGGGAACCCTGGAGATGAATGGACAAACACCCTTCCCTTGCAGAGTATGGATGAGTGTGGGTGGTGAGTGAGATGCCTGTGCAATGGGGAGTGAGAATGGGGCTGAGAAGGCAGAAGGCCCTGTGTCTTTCACCCACATAGCTTACTACATTGTCTTTCTAAAAAATCTAAAAAGACTATGTCGGCACAAGACCGCCTCTCTCTAAGTCACTCACCTTTAAGTCCAAAAGAGGCTTATAGAGTGCCAGAGAGAAAAAGCAGCTTAATCCAAAATGGAGTAACTGACTGTGTAGTTCAAAGGTGTTGCTCATAATAACAAGGCATTCTTGTTCTTTACTGTCAAGGATTATAAACTGTACCCCACAGTTGTCAAAGGCTGCAGTGAAAACAGCAATTGAGAAAGCCTTTCAAGTGTGGAGTGTGGCATCACCCCTGACCTTCACGGAGCTCTCAAAGGGAGAAGCAGACATCAACATTGCTTTTGTCCCAAGAGGTAGCTTCAAAGGATTTTGCTTTCCCTAGCTAACCTGAGACTACAGGCAGAGGCTTAACTGTAAGCCATCTCATTTCAGAGCATGGTGACAATTCTCCATTTGATGGACCCAATGGGATCCTCGCCCATGCCTTTCAGCCAGGTCAGGGGATTGGAGGAGATACCCATTTTGATTCAGAAGAAACATGGACTCAAGATTCCAGAAGTAAGTGGGTCATTCTCAGGTTCACATGTAGCTTCTAAATTCACCTTTCCCACATTAAAACCAAGATGTATTCACAAATACACACCCACTCACATTGCTATAATAGTTCAAACAAAAATCAATCATTTACATTTTTGTTACTTAAAGATAAATCAACTTAGACCTAAAAAAAAAAAAAAAATCAAGCCAGGCTGTGGGGGTACATGTCTTTAATACCAACACTTATTGGGGAAGAGGCAGGTGGATCTCTGAGTTCAAGGCCAGCCTGGTCTACTGAGCAAGTTCTAGGACAGCCAGAGCTACACAGAGAAGCCTTGTCTCAAAAAACAAAACAAAACAAAAAATCCGAAGCTAATTATTGACCTTATTTCCCGCACGGTGCCAAAGTCTATGTGTGTTACTGTCTCAGAATAAATGGAGCTAACTAACTGATGAACGAGAGAAGCCTGTCTTCTGGTGTTTAAGGCACTGGGAAGCCCAGGGTTGAGGTTCTTTTAATGCATCTTCACATGGTAGGAGGACAGGGGAGACAAAACTAATGAAGTTGAAGCCATCAGCCCTTCTCACAGCATCGTCACTCCAGACTCTTCCTATCAGGGTCACCTCTAGCATTGTTTCACTTTGTAACTAATGATCTCTGAAAGAAGCCTTCACAAGTCAGCAGGCAGTGAAGAGAACCTAGCATTGCAAACCACAGCCAAACCCTGCCTAGGACCTGGGTGTACACACAAGGCTGCGCTGAGGGAGGCTATGCTCAGTTACTCACACATCTGTGAGAGCTTTCACTCTCATGGCCAAGCTGAATAGTTGAGACAGGGGCTTCTTAGCTCCCCACCCCCCAAAAAAAAGGTTTGCTAACCATTGCTTTGGTTCTCTCTCTCTCTCTCTCTCTCTCTCTCTCTCTCTGTCTCTCTCTCTGTCTCTCTTTTCTTCCCTCCCTCCTCCTGCTCCCCCTCCCTCTCTAATAGTCTGAATTTAATGTTTGAAAAGGCCTGTTCTTCACATCTTTGGAAATGTTGAAATACAGGGTTCATTTGAAAAGTGAGCCTGTTCAAAGAGCAGCCACACTCTCTCTTTTAGTAATTTCACTTCTGTGGCCCCCTTTTCAGCAGTGTGTGTCTGTGCAACAAGACATCCTTTTCAGGAGCCTCCTCACACGAGGTCAAGCCTGCCTGAGTAAGGAGAAGAAATGAGAAGAAAGGCAGATCTCATCAGCTCTGAGATTTGTTAAGAAGCATATGGAGTCTACCTTGATGCCTCCCAATCACCTTTCTTTAGATACCTCAAGAGAAAAAGAAAAAGATGAACTTATGAAAGTGTCCTTTCTGGGCAGTTTCAGCCTCAAGGTCATATTCTTTGAGATCATATTTTCACGATCCATAGAGTCCATTAGAGCATTCACCATATTTTCTTGCATTTCAGATTACAACCTGTTTCTTGTGGCTGCTCATGAATTTGGCCATTCCTTAGGACTCTCTCACTCCTCTGATCCTGGTGCCTTGATGTATCCCAACTATGCTTACAGTGAGCCCAGCACCTACTCACTCCCTCAAGATGATATCAATGGCATTCAGACACTCTATGGTAAGTCATGTGGGCAACACAGCAGGACACAGCAGGACTTGGGAACCCACCCAACAGATCCAGCATCCAAGGATCTCTCCTTTGCAATCTCTGGACGCTACGCACAAGGGAAACTCAAATTGATCTCTGAAAGTCACCAGCAATGTAGTGTTGGCAAAAGAGGCTTTATTTGTACAAGCAAGGTATCACCACACTGAGCCTCTGATGTGATTTATCTGCAGCTTGGCTTTTAGTTATTAAACATCTATTACTGCCTTAAAGGGAAAGTTGGAGGACAGGTCTGTTGGCCTATATCTGTAATATTAGCACTCAGGCACCTGAGGCTGGAGAATCAGGAATTTGAGGCAAACTTGGACTACATGGTGAGACTTGGTCTCAAGGGGAAAAAATGGGGAAAAGGAAGAAGGGAGGGAAGGAAGGGAGGGAGGGAGGAGAGAGAGGGGATAGAGGGAAGAGAGAGGGGAGAAAGAGGGGAGGAAGGAAGAGAAAGGAAGGAAGGGAAAGGAGAGAGTTAAGACTTAGAAAATGTATAGAAGTACTTCTCCATAATTATCTCTAAATGGAAGGGAAATTTTCTTCCTCCATCTTTATGCTTTCCAATTTTATATATTATGAAAAAATGAGATTACCCCTTTTCATACAGCGTCTCTCCTCCCAGAATCATCTGTTGAAGAAATCCTCACATAGATCCTAATGTGACATGTGTGTGAGACCTGTCAAGAATGAATAGAGAAGAATGATTTGTGGTGGAGGAAGATGGAGGGCCCAGGGGGAGATCTAGCCCCTTCCTCTTGCCCCCTGCTCCCTGAGAGTATGGGAGGCAGTGGGATGGGGAGAAAGTGCTCTCTCCTCCTGTGGTGGGATCGCCCTATAATATCATGTCAGAGAATTTTTTCATCACTGCAGAATTTCTAAGAACAAGGAACTTTACTCAAATGCCCAAATCCCCCAACACATGCTAACAGTCACTTGCTTTGTTTGCCAATGTTTTCAATTCTCTTGGTGTTCTAGTGTTTCTTAGTGGAAAGTACAACCCCTTAATTCCACAATGAGAAAATTCAGTAGGATATAAATTATTGTGTGTTTATTTAATATTTTGAGACATTGTCTCACTCTGTGTCCAGACTAGTCTCAAACCTACAATCCTCCTGCCTCAGTATGCACAGTGCTAGGATCATAAAGCCTGTGATAATGTCTTAGGGTTTCTATTACTGTGAAGAGACACCATGATCATGATGACTCTTATCAAGGAAAAATATTTAATTGTGGTGGCTCGCTTATGGTTAGATGTTTAGTCCATTAATGTCATGGTGCAACATGGCGACATGTAAGCCGGTAAGGTGCTGGAAAAGTAGCCAAGTGTCCTACATCTTGACTTGCAGGCAACAGGAAGTGGTCTGTCTTATTGGGCATGGCTTGAGCATGTATGAGACCTCAGAGCTTGCCTCTACAGTGACACACTTCCTCCAATAAGTCTACATCTACTCCAACAAGGCCACACCTCCTAGTACTGCCACTCCCTTTGGGAGCCATTTTCTTACAAACCACTCCAGCTACCATGTCCAGCCAAGATGTAAATTTTTATACAAAAAAAAAAAACCTGAGATTCATTTTATAGGGTAAAATACTAATATGAGATCTATCCTTGTGTTTGGATTTTGGTGAGGAACAAGGAAGTGATTCTCAATGACAAAAAAAAGGCAGAAAGAGGAAAGGTAGGAGGGAGAAAGGTGGGTCAGAGTCTGAGGAAGTATAGATCTCACTCCAGTGACTTCCCAGTTTGCACAGGAGCCGTGTTACTCTTGATAACAGACCAAGCCTTTAAAAGCATCACATGTACAGACTTTGCTGTGTCTTGTGGAATTGCCTGGTGGCTTTTTCCTCATGAAAAGACACTCTACCTTCCTAAGCATTTGAAACACACTGAAAGTAGCACAGGCTCACACTAATTAAATGTCTTCATTTCCTAGGACCTTCAAACAGCCCTATCCAACCTACAGGGCCCAGCACACCCACAGCCTGTGACCCCCACCTGAGATTTGACGCTATTACCACACTCCGAGGGGAGATTTACTTCTTTAAAGACAAGTATAAAATTGAGCTGTCCTTCTTTGCATCTCTCTCTCTCTCTCTCTCTCTCTCTCTCTCTCTCTCTCTCTTTTTTTTTTTTTTTTTTTTCTTTTTTTCTCTCTCTCTCTTTCTTCTTCCCCACCATATAGGCATCTCCTTGAAATTCTTAGTGTTCTCCGGGTATCATGAAACATCCAGAGGATGGGGAAACTAAAACATCCAAACATTTATGACATGGTTAGGCTCCTTCAGTATTAGACCTATTAAACACTGAGAGGCCCTATCCAAGTGAGATTTGTGAGGGTAGGAAGAGGGTACAATGCCATCTGCGGTTAAATAAGAGCATGCCCGTGACCTCCAAAATCTGTCAAGGGAACACCAGATGAACATCAATACCATAAATCATGCATGCATTATACATTTGTATACTGTGAAAACCATGCAAAGATCAGTTGTAGCCAAGCACCACAGAAAGTGACACTCTCTCCTTCTCCCTCCCCACCCTCACACTGGTTCTTATGCTCCTTTAGGTACTTCTGGAGGCGGCACCCTCAGCTTCGAGAAGTTGAACTCAATTTCATCTCTCTGTTCTGGCCATTCCTACCCAGTGGTCTTCAGGCTGCCTATGAGGATTTTGACAGAGACCTAGTTTACTTGTTCAAAGGTAACCTCCTACTATATCCTCCTCCTTCTGTTCTTCCTGAAAGGTGGGGCTCAACTTCTCTTTGTCTCACAGCACTTCCAGAGAGGACAATCCAGAAAGAGCATGCTGCTAGCCAGACCCTTTGTCAGGAGTCCAGGCTTAGACCCCATCATGGTCACAAACAACAGGCTGGACCCTCATTAGGTCTTAGTACTGTCATCAACAAATACAACTCATGAGACCATCTTCGGTGTTTCTCTGCCCTCATCCTAGATACTGCTTTTTAAGATGACTCGAGATTGTGATTTAGTTTCTATACCTAAGTCACACCAGGCAAGACATCTGGTTTGGGGGCCTTGAGTGGCAGGTTGAAATGTTTGCTATTTTACCACTTAAGAAAGGAACCATTGGGGCTGCCACTGCACTCAGGAGCTCCTCTTTGACACTCTCACTGTTCACAGACTAACTGCTCCATTTTCATTACTGTGAGGATCACAAAGTGCTACATATTATATTCTAAGGGGAAAAAAGCTTTGTTAAAGATGTTTCCTGAATTGTTGACAGGCAGACAGTACTGGGCTCTAAGGGGCTATGACATTCAGCGAGGTTACCCCAGGGATATTTCCAACTATGGATTTCCAAGCAGCGTCCAATCCATTGATGCAGCTGTTTCCTATAGCGGGAAGACATACTTCTTTGTAAACAACCAATGCTGGAGGTGAGATGAACGAGTTTTTCCATTAAAGTTGAAATCTGTATTTCTCTTCCCTGAGTACAAACCATCAACATGGACATGGAAGATATTCTGATCTACATGGTCTTTGATAGACTTCAGGAGGACATGATCTTAACACAAGATGATGTTGCTACAGACTGAATATTTATTTTTATCATATTAAGATGCCTACACAAATGTATTGAGGATTCTGTATCGTGAAAATCTCATGCCCTTGCAAAGTTTGAGGGTGGGACATAGAGAAAGAAGAAGGCTGATTCTTACTATGAGTTGAGTTCTGATGTTCTCAAATGAATGTTTTGAATGGCAGAATTTGGTGCACAAGAGGAAGTTATTAAAACAAGAAAGCAGAAAGGAAGGACGAGGATGAATGGGAGGGGCTAAAAGGGAGGACAATGGAGACATGAATACAAATGAACAATGGTGAATAAGTGTGAAAGGGTCATAATCAGGCCCATGATTTTGCATGCTAAGAAATATATTAATAAAACAATATGTACATTATATAATATGTATATAAATAGACAAGATTGTGTTTAATTTACCAAGTAAGTAAAATATTTAGAAAATATAAGCTCTAGTTTGGGGAAATAACCCCTAATTAGTGATCAGAATGCTATTTTAGAATCAGTGACTCCCATGTGTTTTACAAACAAAATTAGATAGAGAAGTTAAGCTTTCTTAAACTCAGCGAATAGGGCACAGTTAAGACTTAATGTAAAAATGTGTAAGCGAATACTTTACTTCATAATGTACAAAAATTGAAAGAAAACTGTCAGGTGTGTTGCTTCTAAATTGCATGATGCTTTGCTCTCATTAGATATGACAATAGAAGAGGATCCATGGACCCAGGTTATCCCAGAAGCATATCAAGTGCTTTCCCAGGAATAAACTTTAGAGTTGATGCAGTCTTTCTGCAGGATTGTAAGTAGGAAAAAAGTTAACAGAATTGTTCACATTTGTAAAATAGCACAGTTACACTTGTATACTGTTGGTCTACTTGGTGGGACACTCACTCAGATGCCTGAGATGTCTAAGCTAACTTGGCATTTGTCTCTTTCTTACAGCCTTCTTCCTCTTCTTCAGTGGACCACAATATTTTGCATTTAATCTTGTCACTCACAGAGTCACTAGAAATGCAAGAAGCAATTTATGGCTTAACTGTCCATTGAGGTGAAGTAAAGTCAAATGTCCTTGTCTCTAATCTATGAATACAAAAGGGAAGCTCAGTCCGCATATTCATCCTGTGTGTCCTGCTTATACTTTCCTCAGGCGTGGCTAACTCTGCAGTGGTCCTGGAAGAATTGGTATTTGTAATCTCCCTTTCTCGGCTGATTCCTTCTGCACACCCCGTGCCTGGCTAGTGAACACAAAGAGACAGCAAGCTGCTCAGTCAGCTTAACCCAAGCTGTTTCATTATCTGCCCTTCTGCCTTCTGCCTCCTAAACCTCCCATTTTACTACTTGCTTATCGGACTCCCAGTATTCCTAAATCTCTTCAAAATCTAGCAATGGATTTTGATTACACACAGGATTATAAACAACATAGAGATTACCCCCCACTCCCAGTCTTTACCAGAAAAAAAAAGTGCTGTTATTTCCTCCCTTGTGAGAATATATTTTTCGAGTTGAGTCATGCCAAGATAAATAAATAAATAAATAAATAAATAAATAAATAAATAAATAA